TCTACTACTACTGCTACTGCTACTGCTACTGCTACGACGCCTACGACGAGTACGACTACTACTTCTTCCATTACAGCTACTAAGACTACTACTACTACTACTACTACTACTACTACTACTACTACTATTACTATTACTGCTACTACTACTACACCAGGGGCAACAACAACAACAACTACTACTACTACTACTACTACATATACTTCTACCAGTACCACTACTACTACTACTACTACTATTACTACGACTATTACTACTACTACTACTACTACTACTACTACTACTACTACTACTACTGCCACGACTACTACTACTCCTACTACTGCATTACTGCTACTCCCGCCCGTACTACGACGAATACTACTACTACTACTACTAGTACTACTACTACTACTACTACTACTACGACTACTAATACTACTAGTGCGACGACTTACTTCTTTGTCACCACCACCACTACTACCACAACTACTACGACGACCTTTTCCGACTACTGCTAGCGCTATTAATACTACATCTACGAATGCGACCTCTACTACGACTACTTCTAATTCCTACTACTACTACAATTCTACCTACTACTACGACTACTACTACTACTACTACTACTACTACTACTACTACTACTACTACTACTACTACTACTACTACTACTACTACTACTACTACTATTACTACTACTACTACTACTACTACTACTACTACTACTACTACTACTACTACTACTACTACTACTACTACTACTACTACTACTACTACTACTACTACTACTACTACTACTACTACTACTACTACTACTACTACTACTACTACTACTACTACTACTACTACTACTACTACTACTACTACTACTACTACTACTACTAGTACTACTACTACTACTACTACTGCTACTACTACTACTACTATCACTACTACTACTATTACTGCTGCTACTACTACTGATACTACTGATAGTACGGCTGCAACTACTATTACTACTATTACTGCTACTACTACTACTGCTACTACTACGACTACTACTACTACTACTACTGTTGCTGTTGCTGCTCCTATTACTACGACTACGACGACTATTACTATTACTACGACTTCTACTGCCTATTACAATTACTACTACTAAACCTACTACCACGACGACGACGACTACTACTACGGCTACTACTACTATTATTATTAGTTCTACTACTACGACTGGTACCACTGCGCCGTTTTGTATGCCTCCTCTTCCCCGTGTCCGCCCTCGCCCTTCTTTTCTGGAGGAGGCGCCTTGCCCTCGTTCGCTTTCATGGGTGAGCGATCGCGCGACGCGCGTCGTCTTCCCGCAGTGCCGTATCATGCCTCGTCCTCCCGCACATCATCGTCCTCCCCGCTGCCTTTTGTTATCCTCCTTCCCCGTCCCCTTCCCGCCCCTCCCTGCTTCTCCACCCCGCCCTTTCGACGCCGCGCCTCCGCCCCCCTCCAGATTATCATCATCCTCTTCGAGTGCATTCTGCGTGCTTCTCCTTCTTCCCTGCCCCCCTCTCCTTCTCAAGTCGGCAGGGGTAATTGTGGTCTTCCTGGCCGCGGAGCCTGGACGAGGGGCGAGGGCTGCAGGGGACCCTGCCGCCTTACGCACCACGACCTCTCGGGCGGGCGGCGTGTGGCAGCCGATGTGGTCTTCTCACCGCTCCTTGATCTGAGCGTCGGGGAGACCGTTGCTTTACAGTCCTCGGTCTGCCTAGTCCTCCGACAGCAAGGACGGACGACGACGACAGCGACGAGGACCGACGACGATGAGCACCTCTCCAGATCGACGTCGGACCCGGACCCGCTAGCGCGCACAAGAGCGAGGTGCAGGGGAAGGACAACCAGGTCGTCGATTTAGGCGCCCCCCCCTTCTTCGCGGGAAGAGGGAGTCGAAGGAGGAGTGTGGAGGATGCGGAGGACGCACGAGGCGCGCAAAGGAAGAGGAGGAAGAGAAGGTGGAGGAGGAGGAGGAAAAGGGGGAGATTGGAGGGAAAAGGAATTGAACAAAGTTGGCAGATTATGAATCAATCTAGTTGTCCTCGAAGGCAGCTCTTGCACACCAGAAGAACTCGGGATTGTCACAGGCAGGGGGTAGCGGAGGCAATGATGGAGTAGGAAGAGGATGGGAAGGAGGAGGAGGAGGAGGAGGAGGAGGAGGAGGAGGGCTGCTTCCGAGACGGTTTCCCGCCGTCCTGGCCAGCTACAGCGTGGCTGTCAGAGTACCCAGTATCCAGGCCAAGCGTGCCCCATCGAATGCCCTTCGCCCTTCGCAGGAGGAACTCCTCTCCAGCTCCTTTGGAAAGAGGGGGAGACGGAGGATGTGTTTCCCCGCGGCTCTCCAGCCCTCTCCCAGCGTGGAGGCGCTGGGCGCCCCGGTGGGCGCCCAGGGCCTCTCCCACGGGAGCCCCGCGCACACGGCGGCGGGCGAAGCGGCCGAGCGGAGAAAAACCGGGCTCCAAAGGGCAGCGAGAGGGCCCCGCCGCGTTTCGGACAAGGGACCGTAGGTACCCCTTGGTACAAGGGGTATAATCGGAGGAGGAGGTGGAGGAGGAGGAGGAGGAGGAGGAGGAGGAGGAAGCCCGCCGACTTCCAACGCACCCCAGTGCCACGCGTGGCCTCGCATGGGCTCGGCGGTGTGTCCGTGCAGGCGCACGTGCCAGGAGCCCCCAGAGAGCCCAGCGCGCAGGCCACCCCACCCGCAGCGGGACCACCGTGAGCAACAAGATTCGTCGAGGCCTGCCCCCCCCCCTCCCAAGTGCCCCCCCCCCCCTCAACTGGCCTCCCCAACTGCCCCCCCCAACTGCCCCCCCCCCTCGCCAACTGTGTGGGTGGACACGGCCAGGTGAGTGAGCGACGCAGGCAAACGGGTCCGACTGCGCAGGCAGTGGCGAGCAAGCTTCCCACGCAGGGCCGTGCGCAAGTGCCCTCCTTCTCCCCCTGCTGTGCTGCGCTCCGCGCAGTCCGCGGCGTGAGGCCGCTGTGCCAGCTCGCGCGAGGCCCCTCCTCGTCGCCGCCCGGGGGGCACGCCTGGCGGCTGTGCCTGGCGGCTCTTCGCGCCCCACTCCTTCGCCCACCCGGGGGCGCGGGAGCGCAGGGAGGAGCACAGAACCTGCGGCCATGACGTGGGGACAAGGACCCGGCCGGGATCGGAGAGGGCCGGAGGAGAGGGCTTGTTGTTCCCTGGGCCATGACACAGCGTGTCTCTCGCCGCACTCCGTGGACCCAGCCAGCTGGGCGTGCGACGCTCCTCTCGTTGCTGCTTGCGGCAGCATCGAGGCCGCGATTACCGTGTGATGTGTGCATTGTGGCGCGCGCGACAGGTCGCCGCGCATTGTGGTGAGCAGGTCCCGCGCGTGCGACACGACTCATGTTTTGGAGTCACTTTCGCTAATCATCGCGCCGTGGGTTTCAAGCACTGGGCAGATAGTCAGAATTTCGGTGGCGAGCGAGGGGGGAAGTGAGAAGAGGCGGGCCTTCTCAGAAGGCTCTGAAGGTCCCCAGCCTTCTGAGAAGTGCATCGGGCCTCCCTCGAAGACACGGGAAGCTCCTGAGAAGCCCCGCCGCCTTCTGAGAGGGCCTAGTCCTTCGCACTTCCTCCCCCCCTTCGCTCGCAGGCGCATCCTTTGTCCTTACCGTTGCCGCCCCCTCCTCCTCCCTTTGCCTTCCCCCCCCCCCTCTCGATTCGCCTTGCCTCTCGCTGCGCCTCGCCTGCTCCGCGACCTCCTGCCGGACCGCTCCCCGTGCCTGGCCGTCATCCTCCCCGCCCCCCTCGCGTCTCTTCCCGCGACCCCCTCCCTCCGCCTCCGCCCCTCTTTGGGGCAGGGGGCAGGCGGCAAGAGGCCCACAAGGGCCGTTGGCTATGGCCTGTCTCGCCCGCTGCCTGCGGCAAGCTCCGCCACCGTGCCGTGTGCAGCCACGCGCAGAGGGGGGTGGGGGGAGGGGGGAGGGCTTCTCAGAAGCAGCCTCCTTCTAAGGAGCCCCTCCCTCCCCCTCAACCCCCTCGTGCGCGCCGCCTAAAGAAAAGCGCAGCACGTGACACCTGTCGCCTCTGCTCCCTCGGGGCCCTCCCCGTGTCTGCCTGGGCTCTCCCGGCCCTCGGGCGGCCAGCTCGGGGCTCCCCCGCCGGGCCGTCGGCGAGCAGTCCTTGGCGCTCCTGGCTCTGCCCTGGTCGGTCTCGCGGGGCCCTCTCGGGACTCCTTGGCCCGCCCTCGGCCTGAGCAGCAGCTTGGACGTGGGAGCTTGGCCGTTCCAGCTGCGGCACATGATGGATGCACAGTCGGGGCGCTGAAGAAGGAACCCTTTTCGTTGGGGAGGGGCTCGGTGTTCCTTGATTGTTTCGCAGCTTGCCTAAGGTTTCCCTTGGGGTTTCGACGGGACGCCGAAGCTTAACTTATGGCTGGAAGGGGCCTCGTTCCTTATGTAGGGTTCCTTAGGTCAACGCCCCGACTGTATGGCCGGCACTCTGGTAGCGCACCGCAAGCGAATCCGGCAGCCTCATGTCAACGTGCATGAAGCGTAGATGTGCCGTCCAGGCGCTGAGGGAGAGAGAATCCGAAACGCCATCCTTACACTGCCATGTGAATCGGGAGGCTCCGCATGCAAGTAGTAGACGGGTGTTCCAAGATATGGCGCGTACCTATATACATGAGCGTAGACAAATGCGAGCCCCGCCGCAGCCCGTTTGTCGCCTCATCGGAGGCCGCAGAGGCGGAGCAGCCCGGATGCAGAGATTGCCGTTCTTCGGATTCCGATGTGCGACCTCAATCCACCCCTCGAGGCTCGCTTCTCCAACCGCCCGCACGGGGAGCGCGTGGCCCCCGCCTGTCGGGGGGGCAAGGTGTATCACCTGTTCCCGAAGCCGTTCTCATCCACTGGTTCACTGGGCGGGCGAGCACGAGGAATGGAGATCCGTTTGTGTGCCCTCCACTGCCCGTGTCCCTCCACAGGGGGAAGATTCAAACATATAGTCAAAAATTGTCCCGGAACAATTTTTCTACCAATGATTGACCATGCTTACATATTTGTTGAGTGTTCTTAGTTTTCGCCCAAGATCCGCCTGTAGGAGGACATGCCCGACCTAACCCCACGTATTCTTGTCGCACCACTTTCCCACGCCGCCTCTGGTTCCCTGCCAGCGGTGCCCGCTGCTCGGCGAGTGCCCTGCTCAATCCAGGTGGCATGGGGAAGTTTACCGTCGTGGCGCACGACGAGTTCGGGAATCTTTGCCATGAGGGTGGCAGGCTGCCGCTTCGGTTCGTTATCCAGCTGCGGCTCGTAGTCCTGACATGTCCATGTTCATTGCACGTATCGCCCGCTCTACTTCTCTCTCACTCTCTCTGGTACGATCTCTCTCTCTCTCTCTCTCTCTCTCTCTCTTTGTTTTGTTTACTCTTATTGCCGCTCTTACTTTCCATCTCACTCGCTCTCTATCTCTCTCTCTCTCTTTCTCTCTCTCTCTCTCTCCTCTTCTCCTTCCACATTTCTCTTTATATATCACCCTCCCTTTCTGCATAGTTCGACTTACATATCCCCACTGGCGCTAAGCAGCAACATGCAGGCTGATCGTGCCACGATCATGATGTACTGCCTGTTATGGGCCCTTACAAACGCTGGCTTGCAATAGGAGGGGGCAGAGATCTCGGGTACCATGCTGCGTTCTTTGTGCATGTATGCATCGGGCCTCAATTGGATTCGGCTTGCGACTATGGTGACTTCATGGACCCCCCTCGGTTCCAGATGTCTTGTCAGTGCCACCTTGGCCCCGCGCTTCACAAACTTTCGCACAGCCCGCGGGGACGCCTGACACACAGCGTCTTCCTCCCTGCTGCCGTCGAAGCGCCGTCAACGTCTTCCGAGCGATCCGCGCCCTCGTGCTGGAAGCTGAGCTGGTGACCTCGTGGCAAATCGCAGGGTCTGCACGTAGAAAGAGTCATGGCGCCAATATTGCAGAGCGGATTTCGCTCGGAAAACGATTCGGTGGGCCCAGAGTGTCCTGGAGAAGTTCGTTCCGGATTTCGAGGTGAATTTCGGGCGGGTTTTTGCTGGCCAGGAATGAAGACCAAAACACATACACGCGAAAGTCACGCCGGTTTTCCCTCGCCGCTTCGGGAAACACAAATCCGCGCAGAACTCCAGACAGGAATCCTCTGCAGCACGTCTGCAAGGCCCGTGCAGTAAAAAGAGCAGCCCTCGATGGGCCAATCTTCCACCACCACTACCATAGGCAGGACGGGGGAGAAGAGAGGATAGGGAGGGGAGCTCCTCCCCCTCCTCCTCCTCCTCCTCCCCACCCTCCTCCTCCTCCTCCTCCTTCTCCTCCTCCTCCTCCTCCTCCTCCTCCTTCTCCTCCTCCTCCTCCTCCTCCTTCTCCTCTCCTCCTCCCCCTCCTACCTATGGTCGTGGTGGTGGGAAGTCGGCCCAGCAGCCCGCAGTCGCTTGGGCGTGCGCGCCCTGGGCCACGTGAAGCTGCTCGAGGCCGGCTGGGCGGGGGAGTGCCAGCCGGCGGGGGCGCAGAGGCGGGGGCACCGGCGGGCCGCCACGAGGGGAGGGGGAGGAGGAAGCGGAGGGGGAGGAGGGGGAGGGGGAGGAGGAGGAGGAGGAGGAGGAGGAGGAGGAGGAGGAGGAGGAGGAGGAGGAGGAGGAGGGGCAGGAAGAGGAGGGGGAGGGGAGAAAGGAGGGGGAGGAGAAGGAGGAGGGGGAAGAGGAGAAGTAGGAGGAGGAGGAGTGTGAGGAGGGCCAGTGCAAACCAGCGTGTAAGTGTGTCGACCAGAGGACCAGAGCAAGCCAGGAGGAGGGAGAGGAGGAGGACCAGTGGATAACGATGTTGCAATCAACCCTCCCTCCACGTTCCCTCCTCACATGTCCCTACAAGGTTTAATCCTCATTTCTGGAAGTGTTCCGTTCCAGCACCCTCAATCGCGCCAACACACCACCCCTTGGACATCATCGCCGCGAATCAACTGTACTTTGCGTCCTGCCGAGGGGGCTTGAGCCAGAGGGGATTTTTCAATCCGCTGAGCGGTTTTTAAGCTTTAAGACGAATGTGTGCGGCGCCTCGGCAGGAGCAATATTGTCATGGCCTCTGGCCAGTGCCGCCGATCCGGGGGGCTCTGGATTCGGTGATCTTCGCGGCTCTGTGGCCTCCTCCCTCCTCGATTCTTCTTGTCCTCTTTCTTCTCCTCTGGGGGGGTGCCTGGAGCGGTCCCGCGGGGGTCCGTGGAGGGTTCCGAGGGGAGGGTCCTGGGGACGATAGCGGCTAGATCTGAGAGGGGACCCTGGGACCCCTGGAAAAAATCCAGGGATGCGCAAATCATTAAGACAACGCCAGATGGGGAAACCGCCCCCCCCCCCCCCTCCCTTCCCTCCCCCTTGGGGGTCCGGATGCGCAAATCATGAAGAAAACTCATGAAGAAAACGCCAGATGGGCCACCCCCCCTTCCCCCCTTTCCCGGCAGAGCCACCCCGGCGATCCCCCCAAGCAGAGCTGAAGCT